CAGTAAGTTAACGCCTTAATCTGTTAGCGAAGTACATTCGCGATTAATTACATTAAGTATATTGATTTATTCTTTGAATGACTATTTTATGATATTAATTAAGCTGCATTATTTATTAATTTGAACATATATACATACATATATATATATATATATATCTCCAATAGTATATTGAATATTTTCCGATATTTGGTTATTTACTCCGACTTTAGGAAGTGTGTCGGACCAAGACCTTTTCAATAACCTATCGTTATTATACACTGCCTTTCACATTATTATCCGCTTCTTGTTTTATTGATGTAAAAAATAAATAATTATTACAATTTAAATACTTATTTACGATTACAATATCTATGTGCACAGTTTGGATGAAAACCGATTCATTCTGTGTAGCCAAAAAAATGCATCCTTTTGTGCTATGTCCTGAATTTTCAAATCTTGAATTAATAGCCACAGTACAAATTTGAAGCTTTAAAATGTGTTTTAGTTTGATTTTATAAAAAAAGGAGATGTTTTCAGCTTACAGTAGGTAAAAGAAGGCGGGGAATTGTTAAACTGTCGGCGAATATCATTGAAATATAAAGAAAATTCTGCAAGTCTGTTACCAACAAAATGAGGGCTTTATCTTTACGATAATTCCTGTGTGAATAGAGGCATTATGCAAAATTTGTTTTTTGTCGCTCATTGAGAGTTAGTGGTACATGGAAAGATCCTCACTGCAGATTTTTATTGCAAACCACCTGACTGGGTAAAGGAAATATTGTCGAATGTGTCCCGCTTTATTAAACGGAAACGGTGTTATTCTCCATCATGACAATGCAACGGCACACTCTTCAAAAACAAATCCCGGGAAAAAATAAAACCGTTAGGATGGGAAGTACTTACTAGGTTTTTACGTTTACAGATTTTTATTTGTTTACATCACTAAAATATTTTCATAAGACGTAGTAAAATTAGAAACGAAAAATGTATTTGAAATCAATCTTTCAAATTTTCTTTCGAGAAAAAAAAAAAAAAAAAAAACAGATTTCTTTAAGCGAGAAATTGAAAATTTAATTTTTAATTCTTTTAATTTTAATTTTACAAAATCATTTCACCTCAAGCATGGCAATAAAGTCACTAAGATGCAGTGGTTACTGATTGTGAAAGAATATAAGAAAAAGAAAAACAATATTAAGGAGAGAGAACAAGAAAAGAACAGGATCTGTCTATATTTCTGAGATGAGGTATCATGTACACTATTTATATTATTCGGACTACCATATTACGACAAAGATGAGGACAATAGTCCGAATAATGTAAAAAGAACAGGAATTAAAAAAAAAAAAAAACAGAAGATAACGATTGACATTGGATTTAAATTTTTGAACATCAAACTTGACTGGAAAGCAAGACTTCGGAAGAGAGTTCCATGAACGAGAAATGGGACAAAAGAAGCTGTTAGTATAAAACTTACGTTTACATCTAAGCTATTTCAACCGTAAAATAAGATCTTGCTAGTTGGTTTGTTTTGTTTTGTTTTGTGGCATATCAAACTCAATGGGTTATTTAATGCCAACAAAATTTTCATTGCTGGTAATATTTTTTCCTGAAAATATGTATTGCTGGTAATATTTGTTACAAAGTATTTCTGGTATTAAAACCTATTTTTACACTTGCATAGTGTTTTGACCATAATTAGGGGTATACGTATTTACTCCTAGCTGGGACCCTAACAAGTGCTACCACCCGTGGTTAAGGTTAGACCTGAGAACCCCAGCAATTAAGAGGTTGTTCCACGCTCTTCAAAACCTCCTGATCAGAGACCTTGCTGTTGAACGTAGTTCATCATCTTCCCCAGGACGCGGGCTAGTTTATCCTATCATCATACACAGGACGGAGATCTTGCTAGTAACCTAGTAATATATTTAAATTCATAGAGTCTAGGCACCATAGAGGAGTGTTGATCGTAACATTTAACATGAATGTATTTAAAAGTATTTATAGAAAAGGCAGAGAGATAGTAACTGAAGCTGAGATGTGCATGGGTTGAGTGCGCGCAGCTCTGTGCCTTTGTTTTTTGACGAGAAACAATTTGCCTTTCAAATATATGTTTGTTCACTCAAACAGATAGATAGATAGATAGATAGATAGATAGATAGATAGATAGGGTTTCAATCAGCATCCAGCTGGGTAACTAGGAAGAGATTGAGGTAAATAGACTGTTATTAAAGAAAGTAAAAAGAGAAAGGATATATGGCTTCATATATAGAATTTTAAATCTGTGTTGAGCTAATGACAACTTTATTGATAATATTTGGTAGCTAACATTGTATCGTCTAGTTGTCCTACGCTTAATTTTCCATTCCATTTTTTTTTTTTTTTTTTTGCCGTTGCATCTGCATTCCAATCTGCGGGAGCACTTAAAATTTTCTACATTATAAAAAAAATTTCTTTTTTTTTTTAATTCTATTTATTTCTTTTTTATAAAATCTGACATCTTGCTCGATTTCCATTTAATATATATTCCCAGAAATCTTAAATTCTTTTCTGCCTAATATTTAAAAATATTTCTTGTTGTCGCTTGTTCGTCTGCAAAATAAATAATCTCCCATTTTCTTTTAAGCTATTCAGAAATGTCATTTCTGTATTTCGTTTTCTGTTTTGTCCTTCATTCATGTTTTTTGTTTTTGAGGGGTTTTTTTTTGATTTCTGATTTCCTTTTTTTTAATACTTCTCTACTTTATCCTCTCTTCCTCCACCCGCCACTCCTATCCCTCTTTTTATGCTCCTATTTCTCCCAGCCCTTCCTTCGTCCGAAACTCAATTTTCTCTTAAAAAAAAAACACTGTTGCTTATGTGTATCTTCATTTGCCACTGTTTTCTTCTGCTTCTCTTATTTCTTCGCGCGGTCATTCAATCCCAGAATTCCGTTTTAAAATGTTTCTTCTTTATCTTACTTCCTGTTTCGTTTACCTTCTGTTTCAATTGTACCCATTGTTTTCATACGTTTCGTTTTTTTTATTCAATCATTTATTTTAATCTTTCTTCTTTTTTACGTTTTTCTAATTAGAATTTCTCATGTTGTCTTATCCATTCAGTTGCTTCATTCTTCCTAGTCTGGTAGCAGTTTTTTAAACTTCTAATTTCATTTCCATATTTATGCTAAATTTCTTTCTGAATTTTCCATCCAAATGGTCATTTCACTCTTTCTTCAGAATCATTCATTCATTTTATATATATATATTTCTTCTCCTGATGATGGCCATATTGGTCGAAACTAGTTGCGGAATCTAAATGAAATAATAATAATACAAACGAAAGAATATTAATCTACAACCCAGTCTGTCTGAAGATTTTAATTTTTTAATATTTTTTATTGTTCAATATATATATATATATATATATATATATATATATATATATATATATATATTAACGTTTCCCTATACATCGGACTTTTCGGAGATTGGGGTAAAGCACTATATTCACAAACAAATGCCGAGGTAGTTCGATGACATCTGAATTCGAGTGGAGTTCATTGCATACAAATCAATATTTTAAATTTACGTCATCAACGCACAACGTTTACAAAGCATGAAATCCTGTTCTGGTAGAGGCGAACCTATGACGTCATAGATAAAAGAATGATGAAAAAAGCAGGACAGCAAATCCTCTCTGCTAATTGCCAGGAATGACCGGAGGAACCATACCATTCCACCACTCTCCCTCTCTCTCTCTCCCAAACATACACACACACACGCACACACACACACACACACACACACACACACATATATATATATATATATATATATATATATATATGAAACATTTCTCCGTTAACCTGTAGAAAAACGACAATATGTATAAAGGTAAAAGAAAACAAGAAAACTGTATTATTTGAAAAAGTCCACATTGGACGAAACGCGTTGGCTAATAATACAGTTTTCCTATTGTCTTTTATTTTATACACACATAAAAACATATATATATATATATATATATATATATATATATATATATACATGTGTATATATATATATATATATATATATATATATATATATATATATATATATATATATATATATATATATATATATATATGTATGTGTGTGTGGTGCGTGTCCGAGAGATTAGAAACGGGTTCGATTCTCAAGGATGTGATTTCTTGATAATAACAAAATTTTCGAGTAAAATTGGACCCCCAAAACTGTTCAGAAACTGTCGATGGTTGTTCTAGCGCTAGGTCACAAGTCATCGTGACCGAGGGTTTCAGCGTACTGTTCCACTACTGATCTTTCCATATTATGCGCTTTCTCGGAAACTATCATTAAAGTCAACACATAATACTTTCAGTACAAGTAACGGCTTAACTCTTTACATGTTAAAGAAAGACAAGTCCTATTAGCTAGACAGACTAGCATACTCCGAAACGAGCAGACAGAGGAGCATATGGAAATGTTCAAATCCTTATTTCAATGAATGAACAGGTTAAGATTTTAGTGATCGGAGAATCATCCTCGTGGGAGTCGGGTCCACAAAGCAGCGATTCGTAGCTGCTCGAGGGTAACTTACATCGCACCATTGATATACGAAAGGAAAGGAAAGTTGTTCGCTACAAGATGCGTGGCATGGCAGGTCTTCACCGTAAATTTTAGAACATCTGGAACTATCGAATGTAGTTCGTTTGAACACTTTCTATGGAAATAGCGATAGAGAGGCTTGCGACGTTTCGTCTGTGAGAAAGGGCTTATCGAGTGGAAAATAATTTGTCACCCACATGGACGCGGAGAAGCTTTTGTACTTCATCGAGACTGGAAAGAGAAAACTGGGTAGCTCCAGACTATATATGGCAGCAGTATTCCATTTTTGGCCTGATTTTTCTTTTATAAATGTAGAGGATATAAGGAGGAGCCAGTTACTTATTGGAGCGGTACAGGAAACCGAATATTTTTCCAGTATCTGAGCAAACCTTCGTTCATAGTGATTGTTGATAATTCTGTGTCCGATCGGCGATGATATCTATCTATCTATCTATCTATCTATCTATCTATCTATCTATCTATCTATCTATCTATCTATCTGTCTTGTTTATCAGCTGTAGTCTATTTCTTTATACCTCGGCTTCCTATCTAGCTAGATATCTATCTATGACTTTCATTACACATTCTAGCTTCGGCTGTCATATCTGCAGAAGAGTTTGCTATACAAAGATTGTGCTGTCAAACCATCCCAAACGCTGTCCACAAAAGGGTTTCATTTTTGACTAAATATAGGGCTATCATTATCTCATGGGATAAATGTATGCCAACATACCTACCTCCATACCTACCTACCTACCTAGAGATATGTAGATATATAGGTAGATATATAAATTGCAATAAAAATGGAAGTAGAATATCATGGATAGAAGGTTTGTAGCTAACATAGGGTGGGCACAGAAAACAACAATATATGATAGATGACAGTCTCACGCATCTCTCACTCGCGATATATATATATATATATATATATATATATATATATATATATATATATATATATACGGTTGTATTGAGCTCTTTTTTAGTTGTTTACTCGTGTCGGGGTTTTTCTTTGGACTTTGAACCTGTATCTGTGTGATTTTTTCGACAGACTTTCATGTTCCTGGCTCTGTCTTTTTTAAAACCTTTTTTTCCTTCGAGATTGATTTGATTATTGGCAAATCAAAATTCTAGACGAGGTTTTTTCGAGACGATATATATATATATATATATATATATATATATATATATATATATATATATATATGGTTTGCCAACTCGTGTCACTTACCACCCTCCGTCGGTGCACTCTCAAGTGACTCCTTAGACCAACCATCGACAAACACACTCTACCACAATCTGTACATGTCAGATCGATCTGCCTGCGGGTGTATTCAAGAAGTCCAACGGGGACGCCTTTACGCACATCTCTTTTAAGGCTTGCGTGCCTCCTTTTCTTCTCCTCAAAGTCACACCTTCCACTCCAAGTACCCTCATTCTAATTATTGCGATCAGATATGTGTGTGTGTGTGTGCAGAATAAGATTTAGGTACAACGATTCTGTCATTATTTTTGTGCATTGTTCTTATGTTTATTTTTCATGTTCTTCATTCATAATATTTATAAAAAACAAGTCTTTTAATTTCTTGTTTATGTGTTTCGTTTTAATCCTGACATGTTACTTTGTTTTTATTTCAATATTTCAGTGTCATTTTTCTTGCTTATTTCCCTGTTTATTTCTTAAAATTTCATTCTTGAAGAAATCTTTCCTAATATTTCAATTTTCTCAATGTTTGTTCGTCTATAATCGTTATTTTTTGTTATTTTATCATGCTTGAGGGTTCCTTTAAAAATTATCTAGGTTGTTGAAAATTATGTCTTTACAATTTGCCTGAAGATGAAATGTAAAATATATATATTTTTTAAAAATTTAATTAATTTTTTTTGCTATCGAATTTTGCGTAGGCAGTTTAGATTTCTGATTTTTGTTTTTCGCCCGGTGAGAGCAGGCGTGAAAGCGAATCTGTTTTGTTTATTGGCAGTAGGGGAAATATTCTTGAAACTAAAGAAGACTGTTAATGCTTTATTTTGTTCATTATTTTTGTTAATATTGGTAATTTTTTCTAATTTTCAACTCGTCATATTATACAGATTTTTGTTTTGTTTTATTTTTGTTTTTTTGTTTATTTTATGCTTTTGTAATAAGCTGCATTAATTTGAAACAAACAAATAGCCCCTGACAAGATTTGCACTAAAATCACAAACGCTGCATATCCGTCAGTCATGGACGTTGCCTTTATCGATTTGGCCAGTGAGACCAACCAGCTGAAGCGAATCAAATTCATAGTCATGTAGCTACAGTTTATTTAATAAATACTGGCTTTTGAATTAGCGTTGAATTCATTTTTCATTCTAATTATATCTCTGATTGTCTTGGACGTGGTGATAAAGATCCTAATATTAGGGATAAATAATTTATTTTCAAGTAGGTTTTTGAAATTTGTGTTATTTTTGTTAGAAGAGGTGTCTAATATTTTTACTGGTACTTATTAAATCAATTGTTTAAATGTGAAAAACTTTATATCTGAAAGACATCACGCGATGTGAAAGCCCGTAGCTACGAGCACAAAAGAGATTTACGTTTAAACACTCTCGTAATCGACAGTTACACTTTCCATGTCCGATTTCAAATTAAAAGTCTTGCGCCTGATACACTACAACCACATTCATATATGACGATCAAGAAATTGCGTTTAGCTTCTTGTCCCATTTCCAAATATTCACTTTGATTATGTATTCTTCCGTCGTCTTCGACTTGTAAATGTCTCAATATTCAGTTCGTATAACTGAACAGTTAGACTATCCACACATATGATTTCATTACAGTGGTGAAGTCTTGTACTGAACTGAATACAGAGATCTTCTCGTAGAATGGTTTCCAACTAAGGATAAAGAGCCCATTCTTTCTATAGTTTGGAGGGGAAAAGAAAATGAACTCATACATTTCCAAAGGGTATTTGCGTGCAAGTGAACTCGACTAGAATTCGATCATTGCTCTCCGATTTCTGATTTAGAGCCTTTATCCATTCCATTACATGCACCACAAAGTCACTTTATTACTATATAAAATAGGTAAAGATATTTTTTGTAAAACATTATTATTATTATTATTATTATTACTGCTACTACTACTTCAATGGTATCTCTATTTCATACAGCAATGCATAATTTTATTTGCTCTTTCGAAGTTGATATAATTTTCTATTCGGATATTGTAACAATCAGACAAATACACGAAAATCGCCTGTGAGCAAATGTAAACATAAGAGTGTTATTATCGTTGCAGGTTGAACCAAAAATTGTTTTATTCTTCAGGTTAAAACAATTTAGCGCTATTCTTTTAACAGAATTCTCGCTCTGACGTGCCGTTTTGTTTTACTGGAGTTGCTATTTGAAACAAACGAATAACAACCAAGTCCTTCAAATAGACAACGTGTCATTATAAGTTTCCGAAGCCCTTTCTAAGATCAATTCTGTTTGTATCTTTTAATGTATCTGAATCTAGCAGGTGCACGGGAACAACTCTGAATTCAAAACCTGCGGAGGGTCTTTTGGGGAACTTGGGGCGTACCATGCACCAGGTCTCTGCATTCGGCTCTTCCAAAAAGTGTGGTTGGTTCTGCACAAGCCTTCACCACTATAATCAAATGAAATGTGCAGATAGTTTGGCTGTTGGTTCTAAGAACTGAGCTACTTGATCATCAGACGTCAGAAGTGACGATGGAAGAGTTCAGTATACAGGTACGGTATACGATTACTCAGCTGAACGCAAAAGTAAATCTTTTATTCTTCTTTGATCCATCTTTGTCTTTTGAATTCTCTCACACAAACAGGCTTTTTTCTCTTTTTCTTTGGTTTCAACTGTCTACACATGTAATTTCTTTTGTTAACGCATGCGTTGTCGCTTATTTTATATTTATTGTTTTATATTACTTTTTTTTCACCTAGACTCATAGTGAGTCCGCCAATATTGTTTGCTAGATAAATGTTCCAGGAGTCCGTAAATATTTACTATGCAAATTGTTGATACATGCAACATAATTGAGGAATGATATTTACCGAAACATACTGGCATCTCGTAAAACAATATTCAATGCACCGACGAATGGTAGAATTATAAACGTGCAAGATGGAATTCTGACCAGAAAAATTATCTTGCACGAACCAACTTTCCTGGCGGCATTTCGTGTCAGTGGAAAACGAGTCCAAAAAGGTGTACAGACTTGCTCTCCTGGAGTTTAGCAACAGACATTTAGATGACAGACAGAAAATATTCTCCATAGTGATTTAATGAAAGTAGCTTTAGTTTGGAAGCGTGAAAATTTGCACGCCATTCCTTGCCCCAGTTAACCACTGATTGGAGAGAACATTAATGTATCTTGACTTGTTTTCAGCAGAAAACACATTTTTTAGGTAAATATGAGTTATTCTAATGATAAATGATAAAAATTGTCTAACAATGGTTTCGGCCAGACATTGTTTACGTATTCAGCTTTGCCGAAGTGTGTTTACAAAGTCTATTTTGAATCAGCGTGTGTCCACGCTCTTTTCATTTGCCGTGTTGTTTGTGTAATTAATCAAAAAACATAAATAAGAAGTAGACATCATATTTATTGAATTAACTTGATTGAAAATCGTGTTCTATGTATATTATTCCGCGGGGACATTAAATGTAAACCAAGGATTTTTTTTTTTAAAAAAAGGCATTCCCTACGAGGGTATCTGTGAAGATTGAAACCAAAAGAAGTATTTTGAATGTGTATCTATTTATTAAATATTGTTACTCTCTCTCTCTCTCTCTCTATATATATATATATATATATATATATGTGTGTGTGTGTGTGTGTGTGTGTGTGTGTGTGTGTGTGTGTGACTAACAAATTGTTAGAAAAATTATGTACAAAATCTTATTGTATAGACTAAGATGAGGATTGTAAAAAAAGCATTTAGTATTTAATATACTTTTATTTATTTACAACATATGAATTTTTACAGAGAATTAAAACTTTGTTAATTACAATTGGATTTTCAGTGTTTTTATCATAGAAAAAAATTATTGTTTTTCTTTTTTAAAACTTTTTTGGTAAAAAGGAAAATAAATTATTTAATTATTAAATGACTTATATCAAATCTTATGAGATATTTTTGCAATCCTCATTTTAGACTATATATATATATATATATATATATATATATTTATATATATATATATGTATATATATATATATATATATATATATATATATATATATGTATATATGTATTATATATACTTTATATATATAATAATATATATATATATATATATATATATATATATATACATATATTGATATTTTTTTGCAATCCTCATTTTAGACTATATATATACATATATATATACTTTTTATATATATATACATGTATGTATATATATATATATATATACTTTATATATATATACATCTATGTATGTATATATATACTTTATATTTATATACATGTATATATATATATATATTTTATA